ATCGCCCCCACAGTCTGGGTCCTCATTTCACCCACCTCAGAAGGATGGAAGGCTGAGTCAACCTTTGAGCCGGTGAGATTTGAACCGCCGAACTGAACTGCAGTCAGCTGAAGTAGCCTGCAGTGCTGCATTTAACCACTGCGCCACCTCGGCTCTTAAACACGTAAATTAAGGATATGTAGATATATCATTCACTTTGGATTGAACACAATTCATCCTGCGTTTAAAAGGTAAAGTTCCCCTCACACATACGTGCTAGTTGTTCCCGACTCTAGGGGGCGGAACTGTAACTTTGGACAGTCGCTAAACGAACTGTTGTAGGTCGAGGACTACCTGTGTTCACCTGGCGTGATGTTGCTAGCTGATAACTTTTAAGGTTCTGTATTGATTTTCCCCCCTCCAGATTCAGGATGAAGACGTTCTGCGGCTCTTGTACGAAGAGGCCAAGCACAACGTCCTGGAAGGGAGGTTTCCGTGTGACCCGGCCGATTGTGACGCGTTGGGAGCCCTGGTTTGCCGAATCAACTTAGGCCCCTACCACCCGGAGCAGCACACGGCTTCGTTCCTGAAGTAGGTGGAACCCAAACGGCAAGTCAATTCTGTGTTTCTCAAGAAGTGTTTCTTTGAAGCAGACTGGTGAAAAATTAAGTTTAGTTTAGTTTACTTTACACTTTACTTTATTTTATTTTTTACTTTACTTTATTTTACTTTTTATTTTACTTTCTTTTACTTTTTACTTTACTTTTTATTTTACTTTTTTCAGCCTGTTTGCCCTTGTTTTTATTGTCCTGTACCGGCTGCCAGAAGGTAATAGTTCAAAAAAAAAAAGGTGCCCAGGATGAGATGGATCCTTCAGAAATCTTTAAGAGTTAAAAATAATGGTGAAAAACATGTTCAGGCAGTCCTCGACTTACAACAGTTCATTTAGTGACCAAAGTTACAGTGGCACTAGATAAAGTGACTTAGGACCATTGTCCACAGTTAGGGCCGTTCCAGCATCCTCATGGTCGTGTGATCAAAATCCAGATGTTCAGCAACTGACTCCTGTTTATGGCAGTTGCTGGGTCCCGGGATCCTTTTGCAACCTTCTGACCAGCAAAGTCAATGGGAAAGCCGGATTCACTTAGCAACCATGTTGCGAAGAGCTGCGGTGGCGCAGTGGTTAGAATGCAGCACTGCAGGGCTGCCTGCCAGCTGCCTGAAATTTGGCAGATCGAATCTTGCCAGCCTCAAGGTTGACTCAGCCTTCCGTCCTTCCGAGGTTGGTAAAACAAGGACCCAGATTGTTGGGGGGGGCGAAGATGCTGGCTCTGTGAACCCCTTAGAGAGGGCTGGAAAGCACTGTGAAGCGGTACATAAATCTAAGCGGTATTGCTATTCCCCTTCCTTCATTCCTTCCTTCCTTCCTTCCTTCCTTCCTTCCTCCCTCCCTCCCTCCCTCCCTCCCTCCCTCTGGGTCAGAATGCAGGATTGTAGGCTAATTCTGCCCACAGCCAGGAGTTCAATCCTGATCGGTTCAAGGTTGACTCAGCCTTCCGTCCTTCCGAGGTTGGTAAAACGAGGACCCAGATCGTTGGGGACAAGAGGCTGACTCTGTAAATGGCTGTAAAGCACCGTAAAGCGGTATATAAGTCTAAGTGCTATTGCTATCTTCCCTTCCTATCTATCTACCTACCTGCACAGTAGTTGGAATGCAGGATTGCAGGGTAATTCTGCCCATTGCCAGCAGTTCGATCCTGACCAGCTCACTCAGCCATCCATCCTTCCCAGATCAGTAAAATGAGGACCCAGATTGTTGGGGACAATGNCTTCTTCCTTCTCCTTTCTTCCCTTCTTTCCTTATTTTTCCTTCCTTGCTCTCTTCAGAGCGGGGTTCCTACCGGTTCGGACCGATTCAGCCGAACTGATAGTGGTTTTCTGGCCTGGGTCGCCAGAACTGGAGTGACCCAGGCCTACCACGCCTCCGAACCGGTCCTCCGGTCAGCATGTTTTTCTTCCCCTTTTTTATGTTCTACACATGCACAGGTCTATTTTTTGGTAACTGTGTACCCACTCACCATCCGTCCGTCTGTCTGTCCATCCATCCCACCTAGCCACTCCCCATCCTTTTGTCCATTTATCCATCCATCTATCCATAAGGGGATCCCAGGACACTGGAACAGTCATAAATATGAGTCAATTGCCAAGCATCCTAATTCTGACCCTGGGGATGCTGCAACGGTCGTAAGTGCGGAAAGCAGTCACGAATCCATTTTCCAGGGCCATTGGAAGGTCACACCGTCACAAAATGAATGGTTGCACAGTTAAGTCGGGGATTACCTGTGGCTGATACGGTTGGAGGTTTATGGAGCATATTTACAGATAGTCCTTGACTTACAACAACAAAGTTTCTGGGGCCCTCGCTTGTCCGAAGATCACATGACACCCTCCCCCCCCTTGCCAGGACACGACCACTGTCATAAATACCGGTCAGTTGCCAAGGATCTAAGTTTTGATCACATGACCATGGGGATGCTGCAGTGGCTTTAAATCACAGCCTGTCCCATTTTTTTTTCTCCCCGACTTTCTTGTAGACGAACCCTCACTTCAATTCCGCAGAAATATCTTTTTTTTGAGAAGGAAGGAGCTGCAGGTGAGTTCAAAGCGAGTCCGGCTGATCCTTGCAAAATCCATGTATGGGTTTAGGGCAGGATGTGCCCCCCCCCCAACCCTTACGATATACCAACACCCCATAGGTTGAGCAGTTGTCAGTTCGAACGACTGTACAGTTTCCTAACGATGCCGTAACTGATTCATAATAATCGAGCCAATGTTTTAATACAAAACCCAGTGATTTATTAACAGCTTCAGTAGGCAAGATTTATTCGCAGCCATTTCTTTTGCTTTGTCTATCTGCTTCTGAACTTCCCCTCTGTTCCTTTCCTCCCCTCACTCTGTGTCATAAATCACGTTACCCAATAGATACACCCATCTCAAACCAGCTACTGTAATCTGAGATCCGGCTCCTCAGACGGTACGTGTGGAATGTCAACGCGGAGAGTTGACATCTACAGCAGAAAATGTCAATGCTTCATTTCAGAAACCTAAATATCGTTTTAATCCTTGCTGAATAGAGCTTCATTTTCTTTGCTCTTAGAAGTCTTTTATTTATTTATTTTAAAGAGTTTTATTATCTTTCAATTGCAAAAATGAACACTCCATCTTTCCTTAGGCAGTGCGTCGTCTGGGTACAAACACCTCTGTGCAATATCGTTTCTCTTTTGCCACATCTTTCACATTAACATTATTTCCCTAAGTTTAGTATTATAATATATTGAGTATTTAAATGTTTTAGAACTTTCCATTTTTCTTCTATCTTCTAATAATAGTATATCAACATTGAACATCATTATTCTTATCATACACATACTAACAGTTTTATATCTTTATCTCAGAGTATTGTCTAATTTTTTAGCTTTCATTTCCAAACTCTTTTTTTTTCTCCAACCATTGGTAAAATACTTCCCAAATCATATAATATGCAGTTTGCTCTTTCTCCTTAATTGCTAATG